GTATGTATGTATGTTAGTAGTGTAGTGTAGTGTAGTGTATTATGTATGTATGTATGTTTATTGTATGTATGTATATATGTATGTATGTATGTATGTAATAGGAGTGGAGTGGATGTATATATATATATATATATATATATACATTGCAATATATACATGTATGAAGTTTACTAACTTCATACCATTCTAAAAATTGTGAGATCCTGAAATCAATGCTAGTTAACGATAGAATTCTTTTAGTTGTAGAATGATATGAAGTTGGTAAACATCGGATGTAAGGATTAGGGCCCTAGTATATATTTGTGTATGTGAAAATGTAAATAATTTTGGTTCGCAATAATTTTGATAATTCACATGGCCAAATTCTACTCCAAAGTTCGGTACTCCGGCCCTGGGGCCGATCACAATATATATATATATCTGTACCTGTATGTTTATGTTTATGTATATATATATATATATACGCATATATGGATATATATAGTTGTAATTTTAATTGTATATATATACATATATATATTTATGTGTGTGTGTGTGCGTTGTATATATATATGTGTATGTATGTATATGTGAGTGTGTGTGTATGTATATGTATATGTGTATATATACATCTATAAATAAGCATAGATAGATATAGAGATATTGCATGATATTTGGAAATCCATGATTGGCGAATGTTGGTAATCGAATGCACTTGGCGCAATACGATAAATTTATTTCCTAGGGGTATTCAGTTGTACATTTGCTGGTGTATAAATATAGCTTGCGCGTACGTGTTTGATGTATGCCTTTTGCATACGCAGCGGAGTTGTGGTCTTGTTCTGACATCTGTACGTATAGTCAGTCACTTATAGCATGATTTATTCAGATTTTTTAATGCGCTCGTATTTAGGTATTCAGTGTGATATATACGTAGCCCATTTGCCCACCCCGAGGTGGTTTACAGTACTTCAGATATGAAGAGTTATGTTGGTTAGAGCTACCTGCTGGTTGTAAATTTGCGTTGAGGGTCATATAGCTGTATGGCAACGTATTCTTATTTTAAAATTGAAATATATAATCAGTATGCGGAATATGACTGTATTTGATTATTATAAATCATCCCACAGATCAAGAGGTATCTGAAGGACATCAATCGCTTGGTGTTGGCGTCACACTTCCAATGGTCAACCTGGAGTGTCATCCAGGCTAGCATGTCCAAGATTGATTTCCCATACCTCGAAGTAAGTAGCTTGAAGTATTGTGGGTATTTGTATACGTGCATATTCATATGGCATCATGTGTCTGTATATATGTGCATGTGGGCGAGGCTTCATTTGTCTGTATATAGACGCAGCCATCTTACCGCATGATGTACCCTTACTATTCAGCTCGATTTGTTTTCGTTCTCCATGGGACGTGTTCTTAGCTTCATGTTGTACCCCTTGAATAGCAATCATAAGATATAGAGATTCGTGTCACACTGCATACATGAATATCTGCTACCATGTACTCCTTTATTGCACCATACCTTGTGTCCGAAAGTTGACCTATTCATAACTTGAAGCCCCTTTTATATTGCAGATTTGCAGAATTTCCACCTAAGATATGAAGCTGCATACCCGAGTACATTGCAAACCGCCATGCTGATCACACACTTCTTTTTTGCTATTTTCCGCTGGCAGTTCGGGCTCCGTAGATTTGAGGTGTATTTAAAGATGAAGAAAGCGCTACCCGAAACATTGAAAGCCATCGATGCTCTCCAATAGGTGCAATTAATCGATTGGAAGATATCATGCCAATACCAGCGGCTTCTCAAACAAAACTGTAAGCTTCGATATATGCCAATCCCTTTCCCCGTGGGGGAGGCACTTTAACCGCCATATTTCCTAAATCATAATGTACACTTGAAAATATGTATATAGACGCCCATACGAATATGCAAATAAAGAAGTTGATACCCTACTTGTACAACGCGACTATAGATACAATATATACTCATAGATACACATAATGCTCCTACTTTATCCGCGACGTTCCCTAAACATATATATATATATATACATCAAACTCCCGAGTACGGAAAAAAATTGACACAACAATCGCCATATGTGGAAGTATACTCGTCTAAGCACCTCATCTGTTGATCAGTGTACTCGTGTAAGTACTTCGTCTGCGCAATATGTGGAACCAACTCTGCAGCACTATTCGCTGGTATTCGGTGTACTCGTGCTGTACTGTCTGCTCGTAGTCAGAATACTCGTGCAAGTAATTCATTGGCGCCGTTATTTCTGTATCTCTACAACTATCGTCGACACTCGCAGTGCCATAGCTAATGTATTCATTTTAGTTAATTTAAAAAGATAAACTGTAGTAAAAGGATGGTTTTTTGGCCTAACCCAAAACGAGATCTAGTCGAGACCTGCCGGTCCCAACTGCTGGGTTCTGGTGCACCAGTGCCTTCTAGCTGTACGCATGTTCTCTTCGTTAAGGATACACATGTTCATGTACCAGCTGCCTGCTGTTGTCTTGTGGACGCTGGGGACTAAGCCGACTGCCTATACAAGCCAGTCTGCTTGATCCGTAGTCCTTCAGTTCAAGTATTTCAACCCCTTGAAGTACGTATGTAAGAAGTAACTTAATAAACGATTAGTTGATTAGAAGTACCTCTCCTGTATCATTTGCCTTGTCCTAACTAGTACAATTAAGTTTGACGGGTGAGATTTCAAGTTGCCAAGAAGCCTCTGCTATCCCTATCCAACTATGAGCCCCAATTCCAATTAGTCTCCACGGGTAATCATGTCTGGACCTACTCCGAGAACTGACCTATGGTCCTCCATGGGTCTATATGGGCGAAAAAGCACTGTATATTTCTACCATGGTGGGAACTCTGGCGGGGATTCGCCCACTTCCCAGTATATTAGAATATTTTGTCTAAGAATATTGTGGAGCAGGACGTCGAAGTCTTTGGGTTGTAGCTAAATCATATTTCTCGGATTGATCGCGTACGCATACCGACTCCGGGAAGTTAGTGTTAAGAACCTAACGAAGAAGCACACCTTGTCAGGCGCCAATAAGCACCCTGTGGGAAGATCTTTCACCAGGGTAGTCGACAATTGGATCCTGGCAACGCGCTCGGACCTAACTGTCCACGAGCAATTTTGCTGAAGCCACTCGAATTTGATTTGGAACTCCAAGGAGCGCCACGTATCAACCTATCTCTACCACAGACGTGCTGAGCGTTGCGTCCTTGTTACCTATATCCGGATCTCCATCTCAGCCGCTGACAAACGCCTTACTAATTTAGGACCACCGCAAGCAGCGCGACGATCAACGAGACAAGAGTAACTACCGCCGCCGCCAGTAAGAACCAACAGCGGAGCAGGTGGCGTGATATGAGCGCGAACAGGACCGCCTCACTGCGCGCCTGAATGACCCACCGCCCAGTACCCCATCCCGGACCAGGGACCGACCCTCGCCAATGACCCTAGAAGTGCACCCGTGCATACCTTGGCGAACCATCTGTGCTGACATCCAGCGGAATGCAGCCCAACAAGGAGCGATCATAGAAATATTACTTCTCAGTGTGCTAAGGATCTGGCAATCTCGACCCCTTTGACGAACTTAACTTGTAGTCCACAGACTTGGTCCTACTGACAGAACGCCTACTAGAACAAACGGCTGCCGTTCGCATATTTATCAATAACGCTTTATATGCTGGTCTCGATCTCAGGATTATGTCCAACCATAATATGGTACGAATGGGTTTAGTCTACATCACAGTCATTGCAACGAAATATCTGACAGACTATAAACACACACGCCAGTTTGCCTATTGGAAGGGGTACAGAGTGACTGCTTCGATACTAAGACTTCATGACGATAACTTTCCAAACTATTGAAGCCCTGATGGCATACTTTGATGACTTGACGATTGTGGCTAAGCTGAGAACGGACAGCACATACATTGGGTATTGTCATTGGCATGATGTGAATAATACTCTAGATTTTGTGCTCGACAGGAATATACAGCTGCACCACACCAACAAAAAAAAACTCCCTAGTTCATAAAACTACAGAAGACCGTTCACCTGCTCGACTGAGATATCCAACATTACGGAGCTCTTAATCTTGTTGGCGATGCTCTCCTGGTGGTCAGGCATGATTCACAGTACGCCCGAGTTTTGAACCCTCTCACTCGCCTCATTGAGAATTTGTGGTGTTCGAATTGAAGACGAAACAGACCTTGGCCGGGGAAACAGCACTTCACTTTACTTGATCCAACAGATAAAAGCGCTACAGACCCATTCCATACCAGCAACTGCGATACTTCACTCGGGCGAATACAAAACGGCGATAGGAGCAATATTATCGGTCCAGTTACCGGTATGGTTTCCGCGCTATGTGGTGGAATAAGGTTTTTGCTGGAAACCACCAAACTTCAGGCTCTCGCAGAATTGTGTGGTTAGATATCCTAGCTGCCAAGTTCTCGGCCACGGCTATCGTCCCGAATAACGCCGACATCAAAGGCAACGGGACCCGGCCCTGTGCTACTAGATCATCCCAGCCAGCCACACCACACTCTAGATTTCTCTAACAAAAGCTAGCATCGAAGATCAACCGTCGGAAGGACGGCCGCGAATGATATGTACTCATCCGAAGGCTAGTGCTGAATATTGGAATTGCAACAATCTTGGGCCACACCAACATGTTCTCAGTGGCTCTTGCATCCAGCACGCTCAATGCAGCTCAATTGAACTACAGTGAAACAGGCCGAGAGATAACCCTGTAGTAAAGAAGCTGAACGACTGAACCATACCACCTCGTACTCGGTTGTTTGTTATATCAGTCATTCACATTCACCTTATTACATACTTCAATCCACACGATCCACTCTTGGGTGGATTTCTCTGAGCATTCCACGCCGGGATCGCACAAGATTAAGTGGTCAGTCATTCACCCTATACCGGAAAGGTCGCGAGTTCGAATAATGTCTTGGGTATATTTTTGATGGGAGCCAATCAACTAGTATTGGACCAGCACTATTGACCTGCACGGAAAGTTCAGACAATTCCGCCCAGGAGTGGTGATCTCGGCGAGGTAGGTTCAGAGAAATTCACCTAGGAGCGGATCGTGCGGACTGTGATCGAAGTACTCACCACAGTTTCTAGTTTTGTAGTAAGTTAGGTGAAGGACTGAACCAACCAACCGAGGGCAAGGTTGGTTCGACAACCAGTAGAGGTACGCAATAGTAAAATAAAAATTCTAGTACTTTTTGCCGGTTATGGCCGATATGATGGTCTCTTGACCAGAACCCTCTGGAAATTTTGCTGGCGCGGATAAAAAAAGGAGAGAACCCCCATATATTACTATGTAGTATTATCACTACAGTATTTGTAATGCCAAGGTACCGAACTATATAAGTATACAAACCCGGTTCTATAATCCGTTCGGGTATATGAAAACAAATACAATCACAAACGAAATGCACAATAGATCTGAGTGTGTATGGGATGGTCGACGAGGAAGGATGGAGCGTGGAACGAGCTGGCTAGTTGTCCATAGTTAGAGTTCGGGTAGCAAGGATGACACGAAGGCATGAGTGGGATGAACAAGTAATTTAAGAACAACAGGCTAGAAAGTGAGATATAACGCTGTAGTTGAACTGTAAGGTCGGCATACCACTAGGGAGCTTGACCGATTTAACTTTTAAACATGCATGAACTTGACCATCACAAATAGATATCTCTAGAGTTCAATAGTTTTATATGCGACACATGACGCAAGCACGCTAGATGCTACAAATTGATCAAAACGTTAAAGTCTAGTTGAGTGCAGATTACAGAATAGAGATTACAGATTACAGACTGCAGATTGCAGTTCACAGTTCACAACAATAAATTCTTCATGAAGGCGATGCCTGGGTCTAGGGCTGGCACAAATTTCATATCGCTCAGAGTAGCAGTAAGGGCCCCTTCGGTGGGGCGGACAGCGACTTAGCTACTACTGTGCCCCTATCGGACCTCGTGTACGGTGCCTCTTGGGCAAAGGACTTATTTGGATTTCCGTTGTTGTTGTGGGGCTTGGTTGTGGTTACCCAGGACGGCTGTAGTAGCCCAGGAAGTCACAAGGGGCGCGACGTTCATTAATGAGCAGATGAAGGTGTTTAGAGCCTACATAAAGTACAGCACGCGACAGACATCACGATCACAGGAGCATAAGGTAGCAAATACGACCAGAACAAAGAGCAGTACAAGGACAAGATTCTCAAGTTAAAGGTCGATCACAAGGAGTTGCTACATCCTTTCCTGGAGGCTTGGTTTCATGAGGTACCAAATGATGTTTATGTCAACGCAGGAGATTTTGAACGACCCAACACAATGTGTAACGAAGTTTATGAACTATGTTGGACCTGAAATTAGATATAGTATGCAGGCGAGATTAGGTACGTATACTACAGTCGTCTCCCTGGAGAGGAATGTGATGCGGTCCTTTGGCACTTGTGCCAACCTGTTCAAGGCCGACCAGGCAGGGGTAGTGCAGGCTTGGGCCCACGAACTGCGATGAGACACGTATGCTCTCTTCAAAGAGAGACAGAGGATGGCCCAGGAGTTGACGATTATAGGATCTCGTGCAGCGATTCTACAGATTGCGGCGCAGATCGAGGATGCCTAGGAGAATCCATCAGCTAGCTTGTCGGCATATGCGGTGTCCTATAGCAATTCTGCGATGTTGAATGGCGATAGGGCGGCACAAGAGCCAATATCAATCGTGTGTGGCAGAAAGAAAACGACAAGTAGCGTGACGCAAGACGAGGGCGATACTTTGAGCGTTTCCGTATGTATAGAGTGCGACCGCAGGCGAGAAGGAGAAGGCTGCCGGTGATAAGGTGACGGCCACTGAGTTCACTTCCAGTCAGCAGGCAGAACAGGCGGACGCCGAGAGACAGCGTCGTCTCAATACCAATACGAAAGCGTATGCTCTTCGATAGCGTTTAAAGTAAAGAGAGACTGATTACTCATGAGCAGAGTAGAATCCTGGGCTACAGCTTGCACAAGTGGGTGCAACCGTTGTTCGGAAATCTCGGCTGGAAGAGGCTGTATTCGCGGCGGCGAGTGTGTACCTTCTCTTATGCGCCAAGGCATTCAAGAGTTCGACGCTCTGATGCTTATGGCATTCATTACCATTTTTTACGAATATCGGTGGATTTGCAGCCCTAAACTTCCTGTTGGCCCTACGTTACCATTGGAAGCAACCTAGCCGAAGGAGTTATGCCGAGCAAAAGTATAATAGGGCGTAGTGACAACTTGTCCTCGAAGGGGACCCACAAGGAAAGGCGCGGCCGCTCTATGTCACGTAACACTTCCGCGGCTAGCGACAGCGGTGCTTCTTCAAAATGAAGCAGTAGGAGTGGCAGCGAGTTGTCAAAGCACATCACCTGTCAAAGCTGTGGCAAGAGCCACTACAGAGTCACGGATTATTCCCAGCGAGTGACGCCAGCTGGAGCTGCGGCCGCCACCATCGACAAGAGGAAAGCAGAGTGGCGGTGCGAGGAGGGGCCTATAGTGCCTTGCCTGGTCGGGGACAGTGAGCTGAAGATTTACTGCGAGTCGGGCTTCTACCTGCCGTTGATCCTTCGTTCGAAGGCCTTCCTTTCAGGGTTTCTGGGATAACTATTGACGGATGAAATCATGTTTCATATGGTGGACGTGGTACCGCTCTGCAGAGATATTTTGCTAGGTTAACTAGCCAAGAATGAAAATTACAACACAGCATCTGGGACACTTCTACGGAGCCACCACCTTCCGGATGGCGGATAAGGCTTCCGCATAGCAGATAGGGCTTCCGTCTGGGTGGCTTCTCGTATTTGCAAACCCCTGAGACGATATTTAACAGGGAGCTGCTTCCCTACCAGGAGAAGAATATTACTAGCTCCGTTTATGACTTCACCGACTTAAATAATATGGCACGTGATATCAAGGTACCTGAGGACGAGCTGGCTAGCATGGAACGTCACTGGAGACAGTGTGCTTACGACAAGGCCAAAAGCCTCACGAGTTCTCAAGTAGCGAAGCTTTTTCTATCCGTATGCTACCCGACGCTAGAGGGATAATATTATTTATTTCAAAAGATATAAGATACAATGTAGACGCTATAGTTCAGAAAAATAGGTGTACAATCAAGTGAAGATGGGCATTTAGCAGCGGTTTTAAACCCGACGGGCCGCGGGGCTGGCTACCCTCCAACATTTTGGCAGAGAAGGGGAAGGGCGCTCTGCTTCACGAATGTGCCAAGCATACGTTGTGGTGAATAAATAATCACTGCCGGATAATGAAAACATGCTGTCTGAAGATGAGTTGTGCCTGCACATCAACAGCAATGCTCACAGGGTGACGTCCAGCTTCATCCGCGAGCAGGATAGGCACAAGACAACCTTCATCACTATGGCGAACAGTGCATGGTATGCAGCGTGAGGCTTACGGGACCGTAGAAGCAGTGGAAGGCACAGTCTCGACGCTCCGTGAGGGGCAAGGAGCTGTCGCTTGTTGATTCGCCAGCAGTTGGCGGAGGTGCCAAAGTGGTCGAACGGCGAAAAGGTCTGACGCTCTATGACCAGAATCCATGCACTTGGTAGGGTGTTGGTCATCCAAGATGTGTGGCGCCATGTGCCATTACCTTATCACTGACTAGGAACTGGGAGTGATGAAGTTCCCTGGTACAGAAGTCTACGTTACTATTGTCTATGCGTGTCGCTCCAAGACCAAGTTTAACGCGCGACAGAAGCCCCAGCTGGCTAGGAAGAAGTACCAGTGGAAGCTGTTCTTTGGGCATATTTGGTTCCACAGCATCAACACCATAACAGATGATTGCATGCAAAGGATCGTAGCGAAGGAAATTCCCAAGAACAAAGAGAAAGTTGTCACATTTGTCAGTATGAAGGGCCTAGTGGTCGAGTTCTTGTCCAGACCTAAGCGGGTGTCTGGCTCCGCTCACTAACTTAACTAGAAAGAGTGTACGCTTTGTACTGATTCTGGAATGCCAGATAGCGTACGATCGATGTATGTGGTTACTTGCCAGTGGTATCTGCTTGCACATACCAGAGCAGTACAGGCCTCTGCACAAACATCCCGACGGGAGGAAGTGATGGTGTTGAAGAAACGAGTCGAGGAGTGCTCACGGCAGGTTCATCGACAGTAGTAGCACGCTGCCCTGCAAAAGACGATGCTTTGATGGCTTACCTCAAATCGATGGACGTGATGCTTACGGAGACGCAGAGGCAGTGGAAGGCGCAGTCTCGTTGCACCGTGGAAGACAAGAAGCTATTGCTTGTTGGTTTGCGAGCGGTTTAGGTGGAGGTGCGAACAGTGGTCGAACGGCGAAAAAGGTCTTACGCTCTATGACCAGAATTCATGTACCTGGTAGGGTGTTGGTCGCCCAAGACTTGTGACGCCATGCGTCATTATCACATCACTGACTAGGATTTGAGAGCGATGAAGTTCATGGAGCAGAAGTTTACGTTCCTAATGTCAATGCGTTCATGGCACGACTTTACCATCTACACGGATTGCAAGCCCTTGATAAGCCTGTTGAAGGTCGGCCCATGCCTCCGAATACGACAACTACTATACGTCGGGTTGTCGTCCGGTGCCTATTGAAGGTTATGAGTCGGGTCTCAGCCCGCGAGCGTTGTTCCGGTCACCAAGGAGCGGAATACTCAGCGTCCAAATATGCGCTGAAAGGAAGATGGCGCTGGAGCGATGGCCTGGGGTGAAGCTGGACCAGTTCGCCAATCAGTGGAAGGGAACAAGTAGTTTGCCTTGTACGCCTCCGACGAGGAAGGAGACGACACGAGGAGGGCGACGTATAAACGGTACCGATTATCGAGGTGTTCTGTTTTGTCACCCTATTTTGGGATGACATCTCCCGGTTCCTTTGCCACTTTCAGGGTGAGTCCAAGGCCTACGTGCTGATGGTGATTCTTGATTGGGTTGATGTGCCGTGGTTCCCGAGGTACTGCTCCCTGCTACTCAATTTCATTACGATACATATTTGAGTGAACGTGGTGATCTGATGGTGACACCGTCCTGGGGTTCATCGCGTGTGGGTCTTTTGCAGAGTTGGTGTCCCAATCCGTTGGCTACTCTGACGTTGCTTTTTTAAGCAGCGTCTTGGAATTTAAGAGGCCCCGTTTATGGTGAAGAAACCAATAAGAAAGATACTGCCTTACATGGCGGCGACGGTTGTACCTCGTGTGACAGGCCTGTTGCTGAGTGATAGCGAGAACGGAGAGGCATTGCGTTGACACATGATAGACGTTGCCGATGATCGGAATGAAAAAACAGGGGGGGAGCGTTCCCGCCGCATGTGTGAGAAGTTTGACATAACTATGGCTGGTCATGAAGTGAGGACGACCTCGGAGCAGCCGGAAGCCGTATCTGGGGGTGAGGTGACGAGCCTTTCATCGTCGGCGCCGGCTGAAGGTTTCATCTAGGGCGAGGACGGTGTTTTTCTGTGCTCATATCGGCAGGTGGTTGGTCAACCAGGAGCTCACGTCAGTAGGCACGGGGACGCCTGAGATGCCCTTGGCCGACATTGACACAGGGGCGATAGCTACGTTTGGAGACGACGGTCAACAGCATAGCCCTTCTGGGCACGACTCTCCCTAGAGTGAGCCCTTGGTACAAGAAGGCCAATCATCGCTTGAACAGGAGTGGCAAATGGAAACTGTGCGGCCACTCCCAGCCTACTGGGGCACAATTCTCTCTGGAGTGAGTCCTTGCCGGCGTTACAGCTCGTGAAAGAGCTCCTCTACAGCCACGATGACGCTAGGGTCCGTATAGCTGGATTACCATGGGTGTACGACCAGGGCGACTAGGACGACCAAGTTTTTGCGCAGGTGATGCCGAACGACGAAGAAAGGTGAGTGGGGCATGCGTGAGCGCGACGATGAAAACTTCACATGCAGAGACACGGAGGGCCCCTCGCAAGTTGGAAGGCGCCCAGAGTGTTTTGTGGGACCTGCAGCTCGCGGTGAAAGGGAAGTATTTTTGCTCTAGTGACTATGTGTGCGGCCTGTGTACTAAGAACATATGCACCGCATGCGGGGTCTACTTCTGGATAAACTGAGGTAGAGTGTGCTTCAGGACATGTGCTGGCTATTGTTGTAGACACGTGTACAGATTGTGCTCCGGCTTTGGAAAGGCAGCGTTTGCAATCGAATGACACGTCTAGTGTGTGCCCAGCCGATGGAGAAGTTTGAACACGAAAGTCGTTGTCGATGAAAGCTCTTTAACTACTTCGGTGTTTAAGGATTAGTGTGCATCTAAGAACATTCGTGTTCATACAGTGCAGGTGAGATGACATGAAGGAAATGGTCTCGCAGAAGTCATATGCCACACATGCAACCGATGGACGAAGAGAGACATGCCCAACGACAGTGAGCACGAGGTTGTAGCCGCACTATATACCGGAATTTGTGTCGAAATATAACTCGACACGGTCATCATCGGATACTGGCTTGGCGCCCCTTACTCTGGTCACAAACAGTCGTGTGTTCTCCGATTATTGCAATAGGGATAATATTATTTATTTCAAAAAAAATACGATGTATGAACATATGTTATTATGTATGTGTAAACTTCGAT